CCCGATTCGGAGTGGCGTAAACAGAGAGGTGGCCAACCCATGACCTGGCAGAGGAGTATGAAGGAGATGACGAAACGCTTGGGTGCTGTCGGTGCTACTCGCCTTCCAGGATGTGGACCGCGTGATCCTCACTGTGCCTTGTTGGAGACACTACAAGATATGGCTGGCACCCGATGTCAGTGGCGTTCTTGTTGTCAGTTTCTGTCCAGATTGCCTGAGTGAATGTCTGGAGGTGTAGGCACCTCGGAATGATTGTGTTAAGCTAGCACTAAGTCCCTCCCCCATCCACCTTTATTCTTTTCTTTACAATAAGGCTTTCAAATAAGTCATGGTTGTACGGCAGTGAAGCATTGGTGTTGAGCACTGATGTCATGCTGTCGTTGATGATGATGATGAAACAACCTATTAGTTCCCGTACCGGTTAGTGGACACAGGTGAATCCGTACTCACTTAACGCCTATCAAGCTTTCCACTCCATATGTTTGTACCCCAAGACCTATGACAGCGTGTTTGCCTATTCAACATACATGGAACCTACGATACTGTTAGGTGAAAACAGTCCTAACTCGTCCCAAGCGGGCATGAACGTTGCAGATAGCAAGTGTTGTCGTGATGAACATTATTCAAACAGTCGAAATCAAGACCACTGATGTGAAAAACTTTCGATTAACTTTTCATGTGGTTGTGAATACTGTCCATAAATGCCGTACGGTCTTACGTCTTACGACGATGTGGCTTCCCCACCGATCAAGCCTAAGGATATGACGAAACTAAGAGATCGACCAAATTCGAGAACGGGGGCTAGCAGCTAGACTACTCTTCACGGCGGCTAAAAGTTAGTAGCTGCACACGGACAGGATAAGGTATCAGCGTGTTCAATCGCCGGGTCACCATTTTCAACAGCAGCTGAAATGAACCTGGGTGAACTGGGTGCAGTACTTCAGGATCCACCGAGTCAGTGTCTTCAAATAAATGACAAGTTATTAGAAATGTCATAAAGCACCAGTATTGTTTACAACAGGCCTGCTAACATAACGCACTGTTTTACGTCCACGTTGTCCCCAAAACGGACTAATCCATAAACTGTCCGTATTTAGTAGTACACTGTAATTAGCTAGGTTTTATATATGAACAGTGATGTCCCCAACATTACTGGTGGACGAAGTTATGAAGGAGAATAAGGAAACTGTGAAACTCTTGCACATGTCTAACGAAATACTCGTCTCCACAGGATTCCAAAACAGGATTGTAGGACCCATCTCCTAGACGCTGTTGAGTTTACACGCACGACGACCTGCAGCCGGTAAACGAGTCATTTTTTCCGGGTACTCTAGGTGGGGCACGTAGGCCGAATGTCATTCCCGGTGGGTCGAATTTTATAAGGCCTCCAGTGGCTGTCCACATTCAGTGATTCTATGTTCTATTACGGTCCTGAATATAGGCTGCAAGAGGAAACTCGGACATAAACCCAAACGAACCCGAAACAACCTGCACATTCTGTAGTGCACCAAATAGGTGTTGCATGTAAAAACGTCATAAAATGAAGATGTCAAATGAGACGTCAAAATTACCTGGAGATCCGACAGAGCTTGGACATAGTCTTCCTTTTCCCGGCTGATTTCAGCTAACTTTTCGAGGCAGTCAGCCACTTTGAGTCTACTTTCGGTGTCAGTCCTCCGAGAGTATATCGTCTTTGACACCTCTAATACTTCCCACGCCAACTGGAGATTACTGATGTCTTCTTGCGTATCCGCATCAACTTCGTCTTCTGCCGTCTCGGCCTGTTCCTCATTGTTGGACGCAGACTCCACTTCCTCTTCGACGTCCCCATCAGAGGACGCTTTTTCTTCGGCTTCATCTTCCGGTGCACATTCAGCTCCCTCTTCGGTAGGAGCATCTCCGTTTACATTGTCAGCAGCTTCATCAACCTGGAACTAGGTCAGAGGAAAATCGGCAACATACGGATGGCTCACACATCGCATCCAGGACTTGGTTCGAGAGTTCTTCTTGCTCTTCAGCTACAGCAAATTTACCAGTGTCTAACCATACTTACCTGTCATTTGCGGACCAGTTTCAACAAGATCGTCAGATTCAGAAGCACTGTCTTCCTCCGGAACTAAAACTTTCAGTTGGGTGAATCCGCATCATACCTCCAACCAAAGCATTTCCTATTACTGTGCTTTCCATGCGAGCTAACTCCAGTAGGGCGGAACCGTATAGAAAGTTGGGTTCCGCCAGCCTGTCATCCAAGTCACCATGCTCGGTGGCGCTAAACAAGAATAACCGAAAGGCCCAGCCCTTACATAAGTTCGCAGGCTTTCTGAAACGACTCAACTGCTTGTGCGATCTCGCCACAAACGAGATGACGCCTGCCATGTGTTAGGAGCACATCTGCCATTCCGCAGGGTGAAGGGATTCAAAGTGACCTCCGAAAATCAGTTCGAGTTGACCGAAACAAAACGTGCCATAATCAGTGACTGAAACTAAAAAAGATAAGTTCCACGGAAAGGTAATCACATGATGCAGCTGGAGTCAGATTCGTGTGATGTGCAAAATTCTAATGTCCACGAATCGTCACTCCAGCGGTTGCGCTCAGTGTTCGCTCGGATCCATGGATTCACGGATTGATACAAATGTTCGATGCTCTTGCCCAAGATTCCCGGGTCGGTTTCGTTCTTGTCGTTCAGCGGCTGTCGTTCACCTGAAAGGCAAAGATGAAAAAATGATGTATAACGGCTCTTTATGTTCTCAGCGCGGGGCAGTATCTTTGCCAGCGCGAGGACTCGCATGATTAAGTGTCTAATATTGCTTTGAACCGGGTCCTAGAAGGAACGTGGACAACCGTCGGAGGAAGGTTATCACACGCCTGATGAATGTGTGCGCTCCGAGCTTTAAAATTTAATGAACACGTACCCGCACAATGAAACTGAATTTTCGAAAGCTACGACGCGCCCTTGTTGGACTAAAAGGGACGAGACGCTAGGAAAGTACCCCACCAGACTTCTTCCGTCAGAGGTGTGGTGGCTTCGGTGGACAATTAAATTCGGTGAGCTGCAAAAATATGAATGCAGATTGGGATGGTTTTTGGCTTGAGCATGTATGCAACAAAATGCAACATTTTGACGTAAAAACGGTGGACAATAAATTCGGTGAGCTGCAAAAATATGAATGCAGATTGGGATGGTTTTTGGCTTGAGCATGTATGCAACAAAATGCAACATTTTGACGTAAAAACTTTTATTTCACTCGCAAAGGTTTTTCAGCTAGGAGCATTGTGCGGCTAATGCGACCCCAGTCCTTGTGTACAGGTTTGAGCCGCACGTGTTAGGTCGCGGCTGGAGAGGCTCGAGGCGGAAGGTAGGTATGCTCATAATTGTAAACGCACCGGTCTTGGTCCTCCAACTGACCCCTATAAATCAAATTGTAAACACAGATAGAGTGGACGCAATCCAGCCTATCCACTTGGAACTTCCAGTGTACTGGGACCTTAGGAAGAATGTCTTTTAGGAAATATTCGATTGAGGGGCGATCCGAGTGAATTCGCCCAATGGTTCTGGTTTCTGATTAAACAGTATGACCCAGTTTGCATCAAGTTCCCGGCGACAAATCTCATCCTCGCGGAGTGACCTTTAAACGCGGATGTCTGTTCAGAATCTTTGCAATTATCGGATTAGCGACCGGTGCGCCAGCGATGAATTTTTGGACCTAAATGGCTTCACACAAGAAGAGTCAATGAGGACTGCAGCATCACTGATGAAATACGTGTGTCCGGTACCTGGGAATAGGAATCTGCCGATGCATTTCAAGGCTTACCGGCTCGTACTCATGAGGAATCGTGAGGCAATTATGCGGCTATGGAGATGGAGACACCGAGAACGTCCTTTTATCACCACCCATGTAGTGTATTCAAAACAGAGGCCACGACTTACCCGCAAAACAAATCCTTGGTTTGGCAGCATGCCAACCCACTTAATGACCTGCTTCGGTTAACAGGTACTGTTCGCACTCTGACAAGTTGTGAGTTCCAACATTATCCTTCGAAGGAACTTTCTATTAGGAGCCAAGCGGAGACTGCGGGCGACACTATCAATATCCCCTTAGGGTCATCAGTTACCATCCCTTCAAACTTTGTCTTCAACCGCCTTACCAGAATTTGGTTGCCATTTCGTCAACCTTTATCCACAATCACATTCACAGTTCGGTTACTACCTCATCTATGTTTACCTTCAACCACTCACATAATTTGTTTCACGCATGTACAACCACTGTTTCACTTCTGTTTTGATTATGTCATGAACATTCTCCTGATGTGTTGCAAAATAAGGAGTTCTCATAGAATTGAAAAAGCATGAGTATATAGCCCAAAACTTCAGGAGGTCACACCGCAACGATGGATTTTTGATCGTGCTGAACGTTACGAAGTCATCTACGATGTTGTGATGCAGCAGACTGATCACGGACAGAATCTACCGGAAGAAGTCAGTATGCAATTTATTGCAAATTATAGACCAGTAAAAAAGCAGTGGGCATTTTCACACAAACGAAATCGCTTGAAGACATACCAAGATTCGTGGAGTCAAAAGTACCGGTGTTTAGCTTGCGCTCATGCCACACTGGCAAATTCTGCAACCTAATAAACAAATACAGTCCATCAGGTAGCGAATTTTAAACTTGAACAGATCAGAGAATGGATACACACAGTTTGGTGAGCCTTCACCGCTTAAAGGTTATGACCCATACAGAAAAAATAAGTGTTGAAACCGGTCTAGGGATTTTGAGAACTAAGTTCGGTGGTATGCGCCCGAAGCATGACCTCCGATATCTCGATGTTCACGTAAATAGGACTGTAGTATAACAGTGATCGGAGCGGGCTCGCCATTCCGCCTTTGATGTCATCTGTACGACTAGAGATGGGCGGGAAGAAGAAAAGCCAACTTATCGCTGCTCTAAGCTATGTTCAGCGCTAGGACTGCCAACAAACGCTGTTGAAGAATGGGCTACTCTGACCATACTAGAATATGTGAAGAAACCAATGGGTTCCTCAGCCCAACCCGGAGGATGCGGCAGGATGTTGGTCTTCACTGGAAAATTACTTGCTCAGCTTTTGTTTACGATGCACAACCATGGCCTCGTACATGTTTTAAAAGCTATCAGAAGACAATAAAAATCAACATCAAATGTAAATAACCCTGGGCTGTGTCAGTTATCAAGAGACATGGAGGACTTTAGATACGGAAAACCTGGCGAAACGGGCTTAGATGCGTACAAAATGCGATTGCCGCTGTCCAACGAAGAGTTTAGCAGTTTGCTTACCGAGCAATTTTTATTTGATCGGAGGCGCATTATATCTGAATCGGATTAAACCGATCAGACGCCACCTTCGTGCCTAGTCAAGTACGCTTACTATGAGCTTCAAGTACTATGTGACCGGCTTATTACGAACGCAAACACCAGAAACACGCATGCGGGCCAGCCGGGAGAGCTAAAAACAAACTCAATTAAAGGAGGAAAACTAGTCGGCTGCAAAAAGGTTTGCGACTCATACCACGTTGCGCATAAGGCGTGCACATTGCTAACTCGAAGCAGAAGGCACGGTCACTGGTGCTGCCAGCTGGCACGGGCAGCACTACAGTTGCTTTTATTTCACTCGCAAAGGTTTTTCAGCTAGGAGCATTGTGCGGCTAATGCGACCCCAGTCCTTGTGTACAGGTTTGAGCCGCACGTGTTAGGTCGCGGCTGGAGAGGCTCGAGGCGGAAGGTAGGTATGCTCATAATTGTAAACGCACCGGTCTTGGTCCTCCAACTGACCCCTATAAATCAAATTGTAAACACAGATAGAGTGGACGCAATCCAGCCTATCCACTTGGAACTTCCAGTGTACTGGGACCTTAGGAAGAATGTCTTTTAGGAAATATTCGATTGAGGGGCGATCCGAGTGAATTCGCCCAATGGTTCTGGTTTCTGATTAAACAGTATGACCCAGTTTGCATCAAGTTCCCGGCGACAAATCTCATCCTCGCGGAGTGACCTTTAAACGCGGATGTCTGTTCAGAATCTTTGCAATTATCGGATTAGCGACCGGTGCGCCAGCGATGAATTTTTGGACCTAAATGGCTTCACACAAGAAGAGTCAATGAGGACTGCAGCATCACTGATGAAATACGTGTGTCCGGTACCTGGGAATAGGAATCTGCCGATGCATTTCAAGGCTTACCGGCTCGTACTCATGAGGAATCGTGAGGCAATTATGCGGCTATGGAGATGGAGACACCGAGAACGTCCTTTTATCACCACCCATGTAGTGTATTCAAAACAGAGGCCACGACTTACCCGCAAAACAAATCCTTGGTTTGGCAGCATGCCAACCCACTTAATGACCTACAGTTAACAGGTACTGTTCGCACTCTGACAAGTTGTGAGTTCCAACATTATCCTTCGAAGGAACTTTCTATTAGGAGCCAAGCGGAGACTGCGGGCGACACTATCAATATCCCCTTAGGGTCATCAGTTACCATCCCTTCAAACTTTGTCTTCAACCGCCTTACCAGAATTTGGTTGCCATTTCGTCAACCTTTATCCACAATCACATTCACAGTTCGGTTACTACCTCATCTATGTTTACCTTCAACCACTCACATAATTTGTTTCACGCATGTACAACCACTGTTTCACTTCTGTTTTGATTATGTCATGAACATTCTCCTGATGTGTTGCAAAATAAGGAGTTCTCATAGAATTGAAAAAGCATGAGTATATAGCCCAAAACTTCAGGAGGTCACACCGCAACGATGGATTTTTGATCGTGCTGAACGTTACGAAGTCATCTACGATGTTGTGATGCAGCAGACTGATCACGGACAGAATCTACCGGAAGAAGTCAGTATGCAATTTATTGCAAATTATAGACCAGTAAAAAAGCAGTGGGCATTTTCACACAAACGAAATCGCTTGAAGACATACCAAGATTCGTGGAGTCAAAAGTACCGGTGTTTAGCTTGCGCTCATGCCACACTGGCAAATTCTGCAACCTAATAAACAAATACAGTCCATCAGGTAGCGAATTTTAAACTTGAACAGATCAGAGAATGGATACACACAGTTTGGTGAGCCTTCACCGCTTAAAGGTTATGACCCATACAGAAAAAATAAGTGTTGAAACCGGTCTAGGGATTTTGAGAACTAAGTTCGGTGGTATGCGCCCGAAGCATGACCTCCGATATCTCGATGTTCACGTAAATAGGACTGTAGTATAACAGTGATCGGAGCGGGCTCGCCATTCCGCCTTTGATGTCATCTGTACGACTAGAGATGGGCGGGAAGAAGAAAAGCCAACTTATCGCTGCTCTAAGCTATGTTCAGCGCTAGGACTGCCAACAAACGCTGTTGAAGAATGGGCTA